CTATCGGTTTTCGGCTGTCATATTTGCACATGTGGCGTGTCGTCCATATGTTTCTTCGGACAGCAGTGAGGTACAATTATTAAAAAAGTTAGTAAGCAGAACGGGGACAGCCCTATTTTTAAAAAGGAATATTTTTTTCTACAAAAAAAAAATTATTTTGAAACATAGGGAAAGAAGAAGGGGAATGAAGTTACTATCTTGTAAGTGTTTTTTTTTTTTATAATTATTATTTGTTGTGTATGATGAGAGAGTGATATATCTGGCTCAAGTTGTCGATGTCGGTTCCTTTATTTAGGGATGATGGATGTTTAAGAATTTGACACATTTCAAGGATAGAACGCTTATGATAATTTTTTTGTTTGCACAGTATTTTGGTATTAGTGAAGTCGATACTGTGTTTGGTTGAAATGGCATGTTGTGCAAGGGCACAGGATGGTTTTGAAATCCTAATGTCGCTTTTATGGGACGTTAGTCGACCTTGAAGAGAACGGCTGGTCTGGCCAACGTAGCAGGAGTTGCACTCCGCACAGGGTACATGATAGACGACGTTAGTTTGTTCTAGAGGGGCCAATGGAGTTTTAGTCTTAGAAAATAACTTTCCTACGGTTCTGGTGTTTTTTAAAGCTATTTTGACCGGTAAGTTTTGGAAAAGTTTGATTAGCTTGTTCGTGATTTGTGGGAAGTACGGGAGCGAAGCATATTTTATGGTTTGTTCAGGAGTGAGAGGGGACTCATTCATTTGTATTCTGTTAGAGATGGACGCTAATGTTAGCCCGTTGGGTGTTTCAGTGATGGACTGCCCATAGCTTTTGGAATATAGAAATTTATTGATAATGGATGCCGGATAGGAGTTATCTATTAGAATAGACTTCAGTAGATTGAGAGATTCTTCTTTGTAAAGCGGATGTGTCAACATGTGTACTCTAAGGCTGAGGGCTTGTACCAGGTTAAGTTTATATCTGATTGGATGTGTCGAATGGTAGTTTAAGAAACGGTTGCTAGCCATTTCTTTTCTGTACCAGGTAGTGACTAATCTGTTATCAGGAGTGCGAATAATTCGCATATCTAAAAACGGGATACTGTTCTCAACCTCCAATTCACATGTAAATTGTAGGTGAGGATCAAAGCAGTTAAAAACTGATAAAGTGTCGTCCGTCTTGTTCGACGGAGTTGCTAAAATCAGATCGTCGACATACCGTTTTACAAAGGGAACCTGGAAATCTAACTTCTTGATACTATCATTAATAAGATCGTCTAGAACAAAGTTGACTAGAATAGGAGAAATCGTGGCTCCCATAGGAGTTCCAAAAATTTGGCGATAAAATTTGTCATTAAAAATTAAATAGTTGGTGTCAAAAATCAATTTTAATAATTCGGAAAAAGTTTCCCAAGGTATCGGACTGTGGGGTTGGATTTGATTCCAATGGTTACGGAGAGAAGTTAATACGCTGGAGAGTGGAAGATTTGTGAACAAGGATACTACATCAAAACTTACTAAGACAAAGCCTCTGGGTAGTTGATAATTATTAATAAATTCACTGAACTGGAAAGAATCTGTTATGTTGAAGTCATTATTATAATTGTATGCTTGTGAAAGAATGTTCGTTAGAAATTGAGCTATATTAGTGTTTGGAGCATTTATTGAAGATAATATGGGTCGCATACTTAGTTGTGGTTTGTGAATTTTGGGGAGACAGTAAAATCTAGGAGCATAGCCATTGTAATTATGGAGGGATTTGGCTAGTTTATCGTCAATAATTTTTTTGTTTTTTAGTTCAGTGATATATCGGTTGATTTTGTTGGTGTAAGTAGAAGTGGGATTGCGAAGAAGTGGTTGATAGTATTTACTATCATCTAGGAGTTGTTGGCTCAGGTTAATGTATTGCTCTCTCATCATAAGGACTGTGGCATTACCTTTGTCACTAGTTAATACCATTAGGTCAGAGTGTTTTTTTAGAAAAGTGGCCGCTTGTTCATAAACAAGATCAAAATCGGTTTTGGCGTTAGAAGGCTTATGTGAGAAGTTAGTGAGAATGTTGTTGGCAGAGGATCTTAATTCGAGAAGGTCGTTGGTTTCAGAATGAGATAGTATGTTTTCTATGTCAGCTACGAAATTACATACAGAGAAATCGTTGAATGAAGGTTGTAATCCAAACTTCAATATTTCGTCCGTACATTCCGATACTTCAAATCATAAATAGTTTATTTACGAATGTGCCATTAAATAAGACTTTAAGTATAGTCAAGACAAAATTAGAGAGTGATGATTCATTGGCAACTAGAACAAGATTAAACATATCAGCTATAATGGAGTTATTAACATTATGTACTGATAATACATATTTTCAACTAAATAATGAATTCTATAAACAAAATTTTGGTCTAGCAATGGGCCCTAGTTTATCTCTATTCTTAGGCGATATATTTATGGAAGATTTTGAAACAAATATCATTTCTAAACAAAATGTCAAACCCACAGTATGGTGGAGGTATGTAGATGATGTATTCTCAATATGGCCTCATGGATCAGAGTTGTTGGACACATTCCTAAATGATATAAACGATAAAGAAGAGACAATAACATTTACCATGGAAAAGGAATATAATAACACACTACCTTTCCTGGATGTTTTAATCTCTAAGAACGATACTGGATATGAGACTCAGGTGTATAGAAAACCAACTCACACCAATAGATATTTAAATTTCAAATCAAATCACAATATTAATGTAAAAAAGGGAATAATTAAATCCTTATACGATAGAGCCAAAATTACTTGTTCTAACGAAAATTCGTTCTTGGAGGAGAAACATTTGTTAACATCTGTTTTATTAAAAAATGATTATCCTTTATCGTTTATAAATAAGGAATTTTCAACAATCGATCGAATAGAACAGAACAACTTAGAACGAGATCCTACAGCATACACAAGGAATAATATGAGGAAAATAACAATACCGTACATAAAAGGATTATCAGAAAAACTTAAAAGGATAGGAAATAAATTCAACATTTCAACAACATTCAAAACAACAAACACGTTGAGATCTATTTTGTCCAAAACCAAACCTAACAATGAACAAGAAAGGACAAAGAATTGCATTTATAAAATACCTTGTGAATGCGATCAGTTTTATTTAGGTGAATCATCAAGGCCATTAAATGTTAGAATAAGTGAACATCAATCTTATATTAAAAAATAGAGAATTTGATAGATCTCAAATCTGTAAACACGCATGGGATAATGAACATAGGGTTCAATGGAATAATTCAAGTGTAGTCCTAAAAGAAATGGATAGTAAAAAAAAGAAAAATCAAAGAAGCGGCTCTAATTATGCTAAATGAGGCCAATTGTGTCGCAAATTCCTCGGCAGAATGTAGTAGGATCTGGTTACCAATATTGAAAGGGGAAGTTATTAATAAAAAAATACGAGTATTAGTAAGTCAGTAACATATAGAGGATACATCATTTATGTTTTTTTTTTTTTTTAGTAAGTAACATATAAAATCAGTGTTGAAGGTAAACAAAATTCACGAACAAATACTTACAATGTCGGGATAATATTATGAAGTTTTTTCCTGGTTTTTCCCTCATAATTTACTATGGAATCACTAACAGGAGAATTTTACTGTCATCATGTCATGTGTTTTTCTTTTTAAAGACGAATTACATGCTATGATTTTTTTCTGACGGATATTCTCAAGTTATCGGATATTCTAAAGTTGATTTCATGTAATCGAATGAACTATCTTATAAGTAAAGTCGTCCCAGGAGCGCAACTCAACAATATTGGCAATATCATTTTAAAGTCATCTACTTTGAAATGCACTAATGTATGTCTGAATTGCCAATATAAATGAGTCAGATAAAATTAAATTATTAGAAGAATTTTTCACTATGTAACAAAAAACAAAATTTGTTTTATTTACTGTTTGTATTTTGAGAACGATTTCCGAAGTGGAAATTGAAACGTCAATAAACGTATTTTTATCTTTAATTGTGGCTTATTCCCAGTTTTACAGTAATTAACAGTTGTCAAAGTAAAAGTGTTGGAGAATATTCAGACTATGGTAGACTATGATAGCGTTTATGATCCCGATTATACGCCAAGTAGTTCTGATGGTGACAACATCAATACGCACGGCATAGAAATTGTAGAAAGCATTGTGCAAAGCTATACAGAAGGCAGATAATCACGAAGCTGCTGGCCCGAGTTCTAAATCACAACCACTTTAACTTTTATCAGAGATTCCAAAAACAAAAAACGTTTAAACAAATAAAAACCTGGAGAGTAACTTAACGTGTTGCAGCCACTCAATCAGGAGAAGAACACATTGCTGAGTTTGACAAAAAAATAAAAAAGCAAAATAAATGAAACCAGGTTGTGCTTGTAGAAAAAAATGAGTGAACAAATTCACCAACGCAGTAAGAAGTCAGATTTTTAAAAATTATTGGACAAAACAGAAAAGTTGGGAATTATAACGCCAATTTGTGGCATCACACATCACTTCCAAATTTACAGATTGTCATAGGCCTAAAGACGGAAGCAGGCATGATCAAAGAAAACAAACCATAAGCTACAACTTTGACAGAAATTTAGGTAATACAGTACTCGACTCTCGAACCTCGAGACCTCGAACTCGACCCGAACCGTATCACTCTTGATAATGGCTCCAAAATGGGAGCTGAAACGTTCAATCATTAAACTTTTAACGCGGTTCTTCCCGAGAACCCATTGATTTTCATATATATATATATATATATATATATATATATATATATATATATATATATATATATATATATATATATATTTAAAGCCCTTTTCTCTAATTCAGATTGCCAAATATAGGCCTCCCCTATTTCTCGCCATTCATCCCTGTTGTTTCTAAGGCGTTTCCACATTGACCCTGCAGTTCTTTTAATAATATCGTCGCTCCATCGCATTTGCGGTCTCCCTCGTGGTCTTTTTGCTTCAAATGGCCGCCAATTCCCGATTTCTTTATTTCATCGGCCATGCGTAAGACGTTCGTTATGTCTAGCCCATTTCCATTTCAGTTTAGCAGCCTGTTCGACAGCATCTTTTACTTTTGTTCTCTTACGAATGTCTTCATTGGTTTTATAGTCTTTGAGTGAGATACCCAGCATCTGTCGTAGCATGGCTCTCTGAGTTTTTCTGATCTTCTCCATGTTTGTTTTAGTGAATGTCTAGGTTTGAGCTTCATATGTAAGCACAGGTAGGATACAGAATTGAATACTTTGATTCGCAGGCTTTGAGGTATATTTTTATTTTTAATTCTTTCGAACGCTGCCCATCCCATTTTTACACGTCTGCTTATTTCGGTAATCTGATTTTCTTTGCTTACCTTGACATTTTGACCAATATATTTATATTCATCTACGTGTTCTATCTCTGTCCCTTCGATGTTTATCATAGATTTGTCATCAGTGCATTCCACGTATCGGCTATTAGTACTACATCATCTGCGTATCTAAGATGGTTCAAGTATCTTCCGTTAATAAGAATTCCCTTATTTCCCAGTCTATTAACTTAAAGATATCTTCTAGCGTAGATGTAAATAATTTTGGAGATAATATTGTATCTCCTTAATTTTACTGGTCTTTACCGAATCGGAATCGAAACAATATTAATATATATATATATATATATATATATATATATATATATATATATATATATATATATATATATATATATATATATATATATATGTATATATATATATATATATATATATGCAATTTAAGTAAACTCCAATCCAATCTTATTGAGAAGCTACAGGAATAGCTTTATTTCGATAAAATTTATTTCTAACATTGTAAGATTTACGAAGACAAAAATAGCAGTTTGCCTGCAATCAAGAACTACAAAAGAGTATGATTATTTTTACGTCCTTATTTAGATTAAACGTTATAATATATATCTGCAGGAGTATTATTGCTTTTTCTAATTATTGTATGATTTTTTAACGCATTGTAACATTGAAACCGGCAATGTATGTGAATGTGTCAAAATATATTAAATTTATATACATTTGTGCACTATTTATGGTAATTTGTCCATTTAATACAAAATTTCAAATAATGCAGAACTGAGATAATGATAACTGTCGGGACAAAAAACTGTCAACGTATATATATTAAAATCGGTGGCGACAGACTCTTGCGCCATGTTCTCACATAACCTGATTAACTGAATTATTATATTCTGGTGATAATATTATATCGAAACATTTAGCCTTCTATTGGGTATGGTTTAATTGTACATTAACTATTTTATTGTTAATTTGCCTATCATATTCTATAAAATGTTAACTTTGACATCATAGTTATGGTCCATTAACTATGTGTGAAATTAACCTCAAGCGTATAAATAGCAGCTCTTAGAAGCATACTAAAGATTAATTTTGCTAAAAATTTAACAGTGAAAATGTTAATTAATATTTTAAAATACCACAAAAGTGCTACCAAAAAATATTCGCAGTAACCATGTTTAAGGTTATAATCTTACCTCGTATTAGTATGTTTAGTAAAAAATACCTTCCTTATTTTTAAGATTAACATTTTCACACCCATGTTATTTTCAGCATATTTTTATAAATTTTATCGGTTTTCTTATTGCCACATATTTCCCCATGACTTAGCATCCATACCAGCGTGACACTAGTCCTTCAAAATTAGAATCCACTAGTCCTTCAAAACATTTTCACGCTACCCTAGATTTTATCTTACGAGATCCTGAGATCATCACAATCTTTTTTGTTTACTAAACTAATATGGTTATAAGTTTGTGTATATTCATCACAACAGATGAATACAAAAAGTTAAACTTCTCGTGACTTGCCAGTTTAGGAGGTTTCATCTCTGACTTATCACAATTGACAAACGGTGATACTTTATTAATTATTTTTTGTGTTTTTTTTACCTAAATTATATATTCGATTATTAAATGTATGTTTGTGTGCATATTTATAAATTATTTTATGTTTTACGGTAGACTTTGAAAGGTAACTAGTAAATATTTTCCTAAATTGATTTGTTCAGTACCCACACATTGATTTATATGTGTAATAACTCTATGTATATTATTATGTTATTAAACAGATAAAACATAAATATTGTACTGTACTAAGGTGTATTGTACTAAGGTGTATCTATACAAAGTGGAGGTGGCTCTAGAAATTAAATTTATTTACGGCTGGTTAACATCATCTGGGTCTATTTTCCCATATATATATATATATATATATATATATATATATATATATATATATATATAATATATATATATATATATATATATACGGATATATTGGTTTAGTAGACAATTCTCACAAGGGTAAGCCTATTGAAGACATAAGAACTTCATTTTTCTAATGTAAAATTTTTTATGTTAATTTTTAGTATGTTTTGAAAAAGAGTAAATAAACTCAAAAGCTTAGCAAACCTAAAAGAGTTTTACTTAAAGGCCAATATATTGACTACTAAACCCAATATATCCGTATATATTACTCACATAGTCACTAAAGCCCTATATATATATATATATATATATATATATATATTATATATATATATATATATATATATAATATATATATAATATATTATAATATAATATATATATATATATATATAATATATATATATATATATATATGTATATATATAAATATATATATATATATATATATATATAAATTATATAATTATATATTATATATATATATATATATATATATTTATGATATGTAAAATCGAGAACTTAAAATATGTCAAAGTTTAAAAACATTAAAATAATTCAGATAAGTCAAAGAATGAACAACAAACATTTCGAAGAATAAAAGTCTTTTAATTTTGGATTACCTGTATTTAACAAAACATAAGATATGCATAAATTATTTTCTTTGTTAAAATATATTTCAGTGACCCGTATAAGCTTAAGTAAAACCCTAGACATTGGAAGCGGTTTTCCTAATAAATGTTGTGCAGTAATTAGGACAAAAGAATAGATTTTAGAAAGATATGTTTTTGTTAGTTTTTTAGAATTGGTAGAAAAAGATTTGTAAATAAGTTTTAGGAAATTTTATAATTGTAGGTAAAAATTTGGGTGTTATCGAAATGAAGAAATGGGAGATGTATGACGCGTTTTGATTGGATGAGATTGGAAAATGTGGGAGGTTTGGTTTGAGAATGAGACGTTAGTTAGTTTTGGAAGAAAAATTGATAGTCGGTTGGTTTCCAAGGGTGCAAGGCGAACGGCCATTGTTCTCGGGTAGTTTCCCAGAGGTAGGAAGCAGTAGCAGAGAAAGTTAGCTAGCAGTAAAAGATTGTAAGTTATATTTTCTACTTATATTCCAAGAGCCACTGTTCAGGCCAACGATTCGTGCATTTGAAGGAGATCATTAAGGACGATAAACTTGCAATCATTTGTTGTAAGATTGCTGATTGCCTAAGGAGCGGCTACGAGTAAATAGTATAGTCTACAAGGAACAAGGATTTGGACCACTCATCATAAGAGAGAGATAGTTTTGTTTTCTGCAGTTTTTCTTTTATTGATAACATAATTTTTACACTTAATTTAGAAAGGATATAAATATTTTGATTAGGAGATTTAGAATAATATTTAGATTTTGAGATTTCAACTAATATTGTTTGTACCAGTAATTTTGAAGGTTCACGTACGTAGAACAAAATTTTGAGAATCAATATATGAGATTTTGTTTATTGAAACCATTTGAGTGTGAATTTTATTTCATTTTTTTTATTTCAATATCTAACGTTAGATCCTATATGTTTTTTATTATTCCAGTATTCTTTGGACCTTACCTTTCACATGTAATAGATTAGATATTGAAGCACGAATATAACCCTGAGATAAGAGAATTAAAAGGTGTGATAGAATCATAGTCATATCACTAAAATAATTTTAATTAATTAATTAGCTAATTAATTGCTTGGCTCACCAAGACTTTGAATATCACAATATTATATGAAATATTAAATCAAAATGTGATATTTTACTGGTTTCATATATAAACTACATAGAAATAATATAATTATAAATTTATTACTTCTATTACACAAAATTTTAATATTATCAAAATCCATAATATGGTCTTTGTCGATTACATGCTCTGCCAAAGCACAAGATGGTTTTTTAATTCTGCAATCACCTTTGTGAGAAATAATGCGATTTGAAAGATTTCTTTCGGTCTCACCAACATACTCAGCTTCACACTGAGTACAACTAATGCTGTATACTACATTTGTTTTATCGATACTACTGGATACTACTGGGTGATAATAGATGTTTTGATTGTTGGATACAATATTCTGAGATTTAGCAAAAAATGGTGTTAAGTTATTTATATTAACAATATTCCAAAAAAGCATCCTATGTAGCATATCTAGAGGACCAGATTTTTCAATTCAAATATTTTTTAACAATTGAAGATCTCCTTGTAGATAATCTGGATGAGAAAGCTTTAAAACACGTTCTTTTAATCCTGTTATAACGTTCATTTTCATCTTATTTGAATGGTGAGAGTAATAGCTTATAAATCTATTACTATATATGGGTTTTCTGAACCATCTGGTTTTCAACATATTGTCTGTATTTCTTACAATTCATGCAATGTCAAGGAATGGTATAGAATTATCTACCTCTTCTTCAACTGTAAATTGTATATGTTGATTATGATTGTAGAAAATGTTGACTGTTTCATGAATTTTGTGTTTATGAAATGCCAAAAATCAATTATTTACATATCTTTTAATAAAAGGAATGAAAAAAGTGCAATTGTTGATACAATCTTTGATAACATCATCCATGACATAGGCTACTTGGAATGGGTGAAAGACTAGATCCCATAGGACTACCAAAAATTTGTTTATAAAAGACACCATAGAATATAAAAATATTACAATCAAAAACCAAGTTAATAAGTGTTTTAAAATGTAATAAGTCAATATTAGTATGTTGCGAAATCTCATTCCAATATTTTTCAACACTACTTGATTAAATCTAAAGGTATATTAGTAAAAAGAGATGTTACATCAAAACTAACTAAATCATAAGTTCTTTCATTAATAATTTCCAATTACCACAAAATTATGTTTTAGCTGGTTTTGATGTAACATCTCTCTTTACAAATTTACCTTTAAATTTAATCATAAGTAGTATTGAAAAACATTGTAATAAGATTTCGCAACATACTAATATTGACTTATTTCATTTTAAAACACTTATCAACTTTGTTTTTGATTCTAATATTTTTATATTTCATGGTAACTTTTATAAACTAAAAAACTAAAGTAGCTATATCATGGATGATGTTATCAGTGATTATATCAACAATTGCACTTATTTCGTTCATTTTATTAAAAGATATGTAGATAATTCAGTTTTATCACTTCCGAAACACAAA